AAGCTGAGTAACAAAATACTTATTGAAAGCAAGATTAAGATAAATAACTGTGGCAACATATGTAAATGTTAGAATTTAATTAATTAATGTAATTAGTTAATCGAAACGACTCCTTGGCGACCAATCGTGGGAGCGATCGATTCCGATTGTGCTCGTCGCTTTGCCTATTCCCCTTTCTAGCCTTTTTTCTTTTTTGGAAAAGCCCCAGACGTGCGCCTATTCCCTTTTCCTTTTCCATCCCCTCCTCCACTGCAGTTGCCCTGCTGCTTCCCCTTCCCCTCCTCGGCGAGGCGCCTCACGAGCGCCGCAAGGGAGGTGGCTAGTACGGCGAGGCGCCGCGCCCACACGAGCGCCGCGAGGTCAAGGGCAGCAAAGGGTAGCATCAGGCAATACGGTGAGGTGCAGCAACCGCACGGGCTCCGCGAGTTTCAGGGCCGGAAGCGGCCAATACGGCGAGGCTGTGCCTGTTCGGCGCCCGTACGGCCTTGCTCCTGTGCCTCCTACCTGAGCTGGACCTCCCCCCGTGCGTCGTCCCCACCCGCATCACCAAGCTTCCCAACGGTGTCCGCAACTCCGCGTCGCCTCAGAGGATGTCCAGGTACAACCCACCTCCCCTCCCCTCTTCCTTCCGATGAGTCCATGGCTAACAGCGGCACTGTCTCCGAGCTCACGAACACCCGGATTTGACAGGGAGCAACACATGGATGGTGATTTTTGCCGCTCTGCTCTTATGATGCCATCAGAGCACATGTTGCTCGTTTTCAGCATGAGGAAGAAGATGATCTAAATGTTTTGGAAGGACTAATCCAGTAAGGATGGTGGACAAGAAAATATAGAAGGAATGTGTATGTCAAAACTGAAGAAAAGCAGACCACCTTGGTGGCTCTGTTCTCACAAAAGAAGATTGTTTACTGTTTCACACAAAGTCGGATTTTTGCCAGCAACTCATCCACCTTGGTCTCATCTTTTGTTGATGACGGAGCATCACGTAGCAGTATCTCTGCGAAAATCCATAGAAGTATCGGAACCGGCTGTGGATATGGGAAAAAGAAAATCCCTAAATGCATCTCTGAAACAATGGCATTTTTTCAGTGAATGAACTAAGAATAGCAGTTCATTTATATTCTGTAGGGGGATAGCAGCTGCCACTGTTCAAGAATGTACTAATTCTCTGAAAGTTGATTTGTTTTTCTGTAGCAAGTTGTCGTATGAATTCTGACAGCAACTGCCATTTGTTCAAGAAGGAACTATTCTCTGAAAATTGTTTCGTATTTCTGTAGCAATTTATTGTATGGATTCTGAACACTGTGCAAGGAAATCAGCAGCTGCCGTTGTTCAGAGAATGAGCTAATTCTTTGAAAATCGCTTTGTTTTTCTGTAGCAAGTTAATGTATGAAATCTGAATATTGTTCAAAGAAATCAGCAGCTGCCCTTATTTTACATCAGTTTACCCCCTCTTAGTAGAAAGGAACAACTCATTTTTCTCGCTACTCCTAATTTTGTGTTGTGCTTTTGTGTAGGAGGAGGAATTGATTCTCAGACCACAAAAACAACAGAACAACAGGGATGATATTCAAGTTGACATATCTCCATAGAGAATCTAACCTCTCCAGGGATAAGTAAGATGAAAAACAACCATTGAAAGCGCCACAAAGGTAACTAAGCAATGGTAAACCGTAAACATCATTTGAAGACCATCCTTTTATTTCCTCCTTTCACTGAATTTTCATAGGTTAATAACTTACAGCATAAATGTTCATATCTTACAGCATAGATATCTTTCTATAGGCAGTCTTTCACACTAAAACGACAACAAAGGCCTTACAAGATACTTCCTTTTTTTGTCCACTGTTCTTCGTGCTAGTATCAGGTTCAGTAACATACACACAAGTAAAAATGCTCATTGTTTTTCTCTGCGCCCACCATGCAAAAAAAAAGTGCCCCAGGAAGATAATTGCCTCCTTTTCTTTCCAGTAGCATCCCAATCGCGTTTTAGCTCTCTAGTCCAGCCCACGGTGCCGCTTATGTCCCCTGTTTTTGGAGGACATATAAAGGAATTAGTTCCTTCTGCTTCTATATAAAAAAATAATAACCATAATAAATCCAATAAGATTAACACTGCTAGTCCAGAAATTTTAAGCATTACTGGGTTCTTTTGAGGACATTGTGGCCTTCGATGGCCTGGCAGCTTGCACTTGGAACACTTCCTTATTGCTGACTGTTTCAGTTTCTTAAGCTGCACCTCGACGCCACCCATGGTAGACGCACCAATGGTAGACACAACATTTTGATGCACCTGTGTAGGGGTGTGCAGGTTGCCATCCCCCTCCTGCCTGGCATCAACATTCAACTGCTGAGGATCATCGATGCACGTCTATCTTAGGTAACGCGAGTCGAGGCGGACGTCGTCGCGGTAGCGATGACGAACGCCGAGACGAGCACGTGACACCACGACCAGCCTGTCTATCTTAGGGTAACGCGAGTCGAGGCAGACGCCGTTGCGGTAGCGACGTCGGACGCCGAGACGAGCACGTGACACCACTGCACCGTGTCTATCTTAGGGTAACGTGAGTCGAGGCGAACGTCGTCGGGTAGCGACGACGGACGCCGAGACGAGCACGTAACACCACGACCACCCTGTCTATCTTAAGGTAACGCGAGTCGAGGCAGACGTCGTTGCGGTAGCGACGGCGGACGCCAAGTGGAGCATGTGACACCACTGCCACCCTGTCTATCTTAGGCTCACGCGAGTCGAGGCGGACGTCGTCGTGGTAGCGACGACGGACGCCGAGACGAGCACGTGACACCACTTCCACCCTGTCTATCTTAGGGTAACACGAGTCGAGGCGAACATCGTCGCGGTAACGACGACGGACGCCGAGATGAGCACGTGACACCACTTCCACCCTTTCTATCTTAGAGTAACGCTAGTCGAGGCAGACATCGTCATGGTAGCAACGACGGACGCCGAGACGAGCACGTGAAACCACGGCCACCATGTCTATCTTAGGGTCATGCGAGTCGAGGCGAACATCGTCGCGGTAGCGACAATGGACGCCGATACGAGCACGTGACACCACAGCCACCCTGTCTATCTTCGTGTAACGCGAGTCGAGGCGGACGTCATTGTGGTAGCGACGACGGACGCCGAGAAAATTCGACGGACGCGAAAGTATCACTCCGCATCAATTTTTTTTTATCATTTACCTACTCGAGGACGAGCAGGAATTAAGCTTGGGGATGCCTGATACGTCTCCAACGTATCTATAATTTTTGATTGCTTCATGCTACTTTATCTACTGTTTTGGACTATATTGGGCTTTATTCTCCACTTTTATATTACTTTTGGGACTAACCTATTAACCGGAGGACCAACCCAGAATTGCTGTTTTTTTTGCCTTTTTCAGTATTTCAAAGAAACATAATATCAAACGGAGTCCAAACGGAATGAAACCTTCGGGATCGTGATTTTCCAACCGAATGTGACCCAGGAGACTTGGACCCTACTCCAAGCAGTGCCCGAGGAGGTCACGAGGGTGGAGAGCGCCCCCCTGGGCGCGCCCCCTACCTCGTGGGCCCCTCGGAGCTCCACCGACGTACTCCTTCCTCCTATATATACCTACGTATCCCCGAACAATCAGAACAGGAGCCAAAAACCTAATTCCACCACCGCAACCTTCTGTATCCACGAGATCCCATCTTGGGGCCTGTTCCGGAGCTCTGCCGGAGGGGGCATCCACCATGGAGGGCTTCTACATCATCACCATAGCCCCTCCGATGAAGTGTGAGTAGTTTACTTCAGACCTTCGGGTCCATAGCTAGTAGCTAGATGGCTTCTTCTCTCTTTTTGGATCTCAATACAATGTTCCCCCCCTCTCTCGTGGAGATCTATTCGATGTAATCTTCTTTTTGTGGTGTGTTTGTTGAGACCCGATGAATTGTGGATTTATGAT